TTTTAAATAACTTGCGTTTCAGACTCTTCACAAATGAAGAACGTAGAACAACTGCATGAGCAAAGCAGCAGTGCACTCCCTCGCTAACAGTCCCACGCACGCACACCAACGCACATAAACGCACATGAACCTACAGACGCTCAGGCAAGACGGCTACTCTACACGGGAAAACAGACCCTCCGCTCCACACATTCCCGTGGCCACTCACCCTACATTCTCCCTCATACTCCATCTCCACCTTCCCTCGACTCCTGCGCGCCTCTCCCCTCATGTGCAAGCCCTCTCTATATCGCCGTCCTTCCCCCTTCCTCATACTCGCATACCAGTGTAAAAGGGATCCTCATACACGGATTGTGAGGAGGAATCTTGAGTCCTTTTGTCCTTCGTTTTGAGCAATTTGCACGATAGGAAGTATACTTGGCGGATAATGAGGGAGTGAGGGAGTAAATAATGAAGAGTGAGGAAGTCAATTGTGGAGTGAGAAATGAGTGATTGGGAAGTATCCTTTGGAGTAAGGGAGTGACAATGTGAGGGAGGGAAGCAGGAGAAAAGGAGTATGCAGAGGAAGAGTGAGGGAGTATACATGGCAGACGATGAGGATAGAGTGAGGGAGTTAGTCTGGGAAAAGTGAGGGAATGAGTGAGGGGAGTATGACACGATGAGGGCGGAGTGAGTAAGTGAGAGAGGGGTAAAAAGTGGAGTCAGTGAATAAAGTGAAGAAGGACAGAAGGAGTGATTAAAAGAGGAGTGAAGAAGTAAGAATAAATACACACCCCCACATACACACACAAACAATACGTGCTGGAGATCTGACGGAGTGACGGAGTAACAAGCGACGGAGGGAGGGAGGAATGAGTGAGTAAAAGGAGGAGAAGTAAGTGTGAGGAGAAGGTCGATGTGTGCCGGTCTAATTTTAGTCAGGATTAAGCTTATGTAGGCTTTTGTCATGGCAATTATGCAGTAGTTTGCTAGTCTCTCCGACTCAAGGTTACGTCGAGTTCATGAGTTTATCAACAACATTTTTTTCTATTTACTTTTCTTTATACCGAGGCGATAAAACGTTTAATTTTCTGAATCATTTGTTTGGAACTGTTAACACTCTTTCTTTCATTTGTTTAATCTTTTTTCACAAAACGTTTCTACATGTTCGAGATATTTGAGAGGAAAAAATCTTAATACTATTTCTCTTATTTATTTTCCAAATATTTTTTTTTTTCTTTTTCACAAAACGTTCCTACATTTTCGAGTTATTTGTGAGGAAATATTCTTAATACTATTTATGTGATTCATTTTCCAAATATTTTTGTTTCTCTTTCACAAAACTTCTTTACATTTTCGAGTTATTTGTTATGAAACATTGTTAATACTGTTTTTTTTTTTTTCTCATTTACTTTTCCCAAAAAGATAAAACGTTTCTTCAGTTCAGAATAATTTTTCAGGAAACATTAATCATTGTTGGTGTTGTTTCTTTCATTTATTTTCCAAAGAAGAAGAAAAAATAAAACATATCCAGTTTTAGAATAATTTGTGATGGAAAATCTAGTCATTGTTCGCGTTGTTTCTTTTATTTATTTTCAAAAAAAGAAAAAAAAATCATCAATTCAGAATAATTTTTCAGGAAAATCTAGTCACTGTTGATGTTTCTTTTATGTATTTTCAAAATTAAAAAAATAATAATAACAATAATAATAATAATAATAATAATAAAATAAAATAAATCATATCCTCGTTCAGAATAGATTTGTTAGGAATCGTCATTGTTGGCATTTCTTTTATTTATTTTCCAAAAAAGAAGAAAAAAATAATGATAATTAAACATATAAACCATATATACAGGTTCCGAATAATTTTGTTAGGAAAATCGTCATTTTTGGCATTTTCTTTTTATTTAATTTTCTAAAAAGAAAAAAAAGTTTAATGATAATAATAAAACAATATAAACATATCTACAGTTCCGAATAATTTGTTGTGAAATCTAGTCATTTAGTGCTGTTTCATTTATTTATTTTCCAAAAAAGAAGAAAAAAATAATGAATAAACAGAATAAATACATCTTCAGTTCCGAATAATTTGTAGGAAAAATCTAGTCATCTTAGTGCTGTTTTCTTTATTCATTTTCCAAAAAAAAGAAAATAATGATAATAAAACAGAATAAAACATCTTAGTTCCTGAATAATTTGTTAAGAAAATCTAGTATCTTAGTGCTGTTTCTTTTAATTTATTTTCCAAAAAAAGAAGAAAAAATAATTGAATAATAAAAACAGTTCCGAATAATTTGTTAGGAAAATCTAGTCATGTTAGTAGCGAGATTCCTTGTACCTCTTCTCCTCATGAGTATCGTTAGTCAGCTGACGACGTACTAAACTGCACGAGGTAAGACAATCACCACCACACTCCAATCCTCTCTGCGAGCGGCCGGCTATCACGCTACTTGCTCTTTCTCGTCTCATTCTTACCGTCACACTTACGACGGCTTCGTGGAAAAATTGCATCTCATTAACCCAAGGAAAAAAAATAAACAAAATGGAAAGAGATATAAACAGTTTGTTTTTTTTTTTTTGATGGGTATTTAGAGAGATTATTTTGATTATATTATTTCATTTTTTTTTATTTATCATAATCTATACTTGACATTATCCTCCTATTCTCTCCCCCTTTTGCCGACCCCTTTTTCTTCTCCTATTCTTTGTATGAACTATTTCTCTATTCTCCCCCTGAAATACGCCTCTTTCTCCTATCCCTTCCCTGCCAAGACTATCCCTTCTCTACCAACCCCTGCCACCCCCTCTATACGCCTCCATCGCTAACAACTCTCCCCTATTCCCACACCTGTTACCCCCTCCCCTCTCCTATAACCCACTCTGTGGACGTGCTTTGCTCTCCTACTCTCTTTCTCTGCCTCCCTACCATCCCTTTCCTCTCCCTCCTCCCCCATCCATACCAACCCTTCTCCTTACCCCCCCGTCCCCCTCTTAGGCAACCCCCTTCCATCTTCGTATACAACATCGTTTTCAATCCTCATTCTTAACGTCATCCTTATACATCTCCTCCTACCTCCCATCGACAATCCTCTACCCCAACTCCCCACTCGCCAACACCTCCTAATTTTTCCAGTTCGGTCCCTGCCAACCATCTCCCCTCAAATAGCACAATCTCCCTCTCCCTCACTCCTTCACACCTATCAATTGCCACAACACCCCCTTTCCTTCCCTAATAACCCTTTCTATCCCTCTCCTCCTCCTTCCTACCTTACTACCTCTCCCTGCCAGCCTCCACTAAGACCCTTCCTCCCTCCCTGCCAACCTATCGCCTTTCCTCCCCTCCCTAACCCCCGTCCCTGCAACCTTTCTTTCCTCCTCCCCTGTCTACCTCTATCACCTCCACCAACCCCTCTCCCCTCCCTGCCAACCTCCTTCTCCCTCCTCCTTACTACCCGTGCAACCTTACCCCTCCCACCCACCCCTCTACCCCCTAACCCCTTCAGCACAATGAAGTACTCCCGCTCAGCAAGTGGTACAAATTCAATAAAAACAAGCACGATTTAAGGGCATTATAAAAATAAATATATATCTTCCGGGGCATAATTTTTGTCTCTGGCATAGATGGCGGTCCACTTCCACCTTAATGGACAGTAGCAATAGAGGTGGAATTATGAAGATTTGGATTGAAGTTGATGGAATATATGAGGGGGGGATACGGTGAGCGTGTGTGTGCGTGTGTGTGTGTGGTGTATTGTGTGTTGTGTGTTAATGTGTGTGTTGTGTGTGTGTGTGTGTGTTTGTGTGTGTGTTGTTGGTGGTGTGTTGTGTGTGTGTGTGTGTGTGTGTGTGTGTGTGTGTGTGTGTGTGTGTGGTGTGTGTGTGTGTGTGTGTGTGTGTGTGTGTGTGTGTGTGTGCGTGTGTGTGTGTGTGTGTAGCAAAAGGACCGCTTATCCTTTGGGATTGAAGGATAACGAGTGATAATCTTGGTGAAGGTTTAATTGATGCAGCATAGAGAATGGAGGCAATGGAGGTGGAAGAAGAGGAGGAGGAGATGGAAGGAGAAGGAAGGGAGGGGAAGAGTATAGATAGATAGATAGAGAGAGAAGAGAGGGAAGTAGGGAGGGGAGAGAGGGAATGGGAGAGAGAGAAAGGAGAGAGGAGAAGAGAGAGAGAGAGAGAGAGAGAGAAGAAGAGACAGAGAGGAGAGGAGAGACCGAGAGAGAGAGAGAGAGAGAAAAGGAGAGAGAAAGAGAGAGAGAGAACAAACAGAAGGAGAGAGAAAACAACAAAGCCATAGAAACGAAGGGAGAGAGAGAGAGAGAGAGCGAGAAGGAAAGAGAAGAAAGTGAGATAACGCAGGGAGAAGAGAGCAGAACAGAACGGAGAGCAAAACAGAGGCCAAACCCAAAACCCACAGACACAGAACCCTCGCGTAGACGTCCATCCTAAACCCCTTCCCCTCTCTTACTCCTCTCCCTTCCTTCCTTCCTCCCTCCTTCCTTCCCTCCTCTCTCCTTCCTTCCCTTCCCCCCCCCCACCCTTCTTCCCCTCTCCTGTACCCCGCTTTCCACGCAACTGGAGCACGAGAATTAGGAAGAAAACGGGCTTAAAGCTGTTATTCCGGAGGGCCTCTATCTCTCCCACTCCGTCCCGGCCCGGCTTGGGGGATGGGGCGGTGTGTGTGTACATCTTTATGGCGGCCCCCATTTTTAGCCTTGTTTGGATGGTGGATGGTTGAACAGCTGTTTATGGAACAGGGGTGAGTGGGGGTGGGAGAGGTGGGGGTGGACTATGTTCTGTGGTGGGTGTGGGGGTGTTGGTGGGAGGGTGGGTTCGAGTGGGGTGTTGTGGGGTTGGGGTGTTGTGAGGGTATTGTGGGTTGGGGGGTGGGTGTTGTGAGGGTGGGTGTTTTTGGTGTTGTTGAGGGTGGTGTTGTGAGGGCGAGGTGGGTGTTTGGTGTGAGGGTGGGTGTTGTGGGGTTGGGAGGGTGGGTGGTTGAGAGGTCGGGAGGTGGGTTGTTTATTTCGAGTGGGATGTTGTGGGGTTTGGGGTGTTGTGGGTTGGAGGGTGGATTGTTTGGTTTGGAGGGTGGGTGTTGTGAGGGCGGGTTGTTGGGGTGTTGTGAGGGGTGGGTGTTTTGGTGTTGTGAGGGTGGGTGTTGTGAGGGCGGGTGTTGGGCGTGTTGTGAGGGTGGGTGTTGTGGGTGTTTGTGAGGGGGTGCTGGGGTGTTGTGAGGGTGGGTTTGGTGGGGTTTGACAGTGGGTGCTGGGGTGTGTGAGGGTGGGTATTGTGGGGTTGTGAGAGTGGTGCTGGGGTGTTGTGAGGGTGGTATTGTGGGGTTGTGAGAGTGGGTGCTGGGGTGTTTGTGAGGGTGGTATGTGGGGTTGTGAGAGTGGGGTGCTGGGGTGTTGTGAGGGTGGGTATTGTGGGGTTGTGAAGAGTGTGGTGCTGGGGTGGTTGTGAGGGTGGGTATTGTGGGGTGTGAGAGTGGGTGCTGGGGTGTGTGAGGGTGGGTATTGTGGGTTGTGAGAGTGGGTGCTGGGGTGTTGTGAGGGTGGTATTGTGGGGTTGTGAGAGTGGGTGCTGGGGTGTTTTGAGGGTGGTATTGTGGGGTTGTGAGAGTGGGGGCTGGGGTGTGTGAGGGTGGGTGTTGTGGGTTGTGAGAGTGGGTGCTGGGTGTTGTGAGGTGGGGTATTGTGGGGTTGGTGAGAGTGGGTGCTGGGGTGTTGGGTTGGTATGAGGTTGTGAGGGTGGGAATTTATTTCGAGATATTTGTGGGTGGTGTTTTAGTTTGTCGTTGTAGGTTTATTACGAGGGGTTTGTGGGTTATTAAGTGTTACGTTGATTGTGAGATTGCGAATATTACAGCTATTATATTTTAGAATGAATCGAGTCATGTCTTTTTTTTTAATAAGCCGTATTTTTCCTTTTTTTAATAGCCGTGTTTTTCCTTTCTTTTAATAGCCGTGTTTTTCCCTTTTTTTAATAGCCGTATTTTTCATTTTTTTTAAATAGCCGTATTTTTCCATTTTTAATAGCCGTATTTTTTTAATTCTAAAATAGCCGTATTTTCCATTATTTTAAATAGCCGTATTTTCCATTCTATTTTTCCTTTTTTTTTAAATTTTTCTTAATAGCCGTATTTTTTCCATTTCTTTAATAGCCGTTTTTTTTTCCATTTTTTTAAATAGCCGTATTTTTTTCCTTTTTTTAATAGCCGTATTTTTTTCCTTTTGTTTTAAATAGTCGTATTTTTTCATTTTTAATAGCCGTATTTTTCCATTTTTTAAATAGCCGTATTTTTCCATTTTTTAATAGCCGTATTTTTTCCCCTTTTTTTTAATACGCCGTATTTTTCCCTTTTTTAATAGGCCATATTTTCCCTTTTTTAAATAGCCGTGTTTTTCCTTTTTATTCTAATTGCCGTATTTTTTCCGTTTTTTTTTTTTTTAATAGCCATATTTTTCCATTTTTTAATAGCCGTATTTTTCCTTTTTTTTAAATAGCCGTATTTTTCCCTTTTTTAATAGCCGTATTTTTCCATTTCTCTTTTTAATTGCCTAATATACCCCCCCCCCCAGCAACCGGCCCGGCACCTGACATACTGCAGCTGTCGGTCGGCTCCCGGACTCGTCAACCGGCCACTGTTTGCAACGGTTTGTCCGGTTGGTACGATTTGCATTTATCGGCTCCGTGTCCGGCCGTTCGCGCGTGCTTCTGAACCGGACGAACCTCTGAAAGAATGAACATCGATTCCAGCCGCCGGTCCCGATGTAAAAAAAAAAAAGTGTCCGGTTAAAAGGGAGGGGGAGGAGGATGGGAGGGAGGGGGGGTGAGGATGGGATGAGGGAGAGGGTGGAGGGGGAGGAGGGATGGGAGAGGGGGAGGATGGGGGAGGGGGAGGAGGAGAGAAGAGGGGAAGGGGAGGGAGGGGGATGGGAGGGGAGGGTGGGAGGGGAGAGGGGTGAGGGGGGGGAGGATGGGAGAGGGGGAGGGAGGGGGGGAAGGAGGAGAGGAGAGAGAGAGAGAGAGAGAGAGAGAGAAGAGAGAGAGAGAGAGAGAGAGGAGAGAGAGAGAGAGAGAGAGAGAGAGAGAAAGAGAAAGAAGAAAGACAGAATAGAAAGCCCCAGCGTGGAATGCACCCAAGCCCCGCGTCCTCAGGTCGTGTGGCTGGGGTGGTTTGGGGGGGGGAGACGACGACGTCAGCGGCACGACACGAAACAAAGGGCGATCGCCATCCGTCTCGCCGCCACACCGCTACCGCTACCGCCGGCCGCCGCCACGCACCCCGTCGCCATCGCCACGCACCCGCCGCCATCGCCACGCACCCGCACCCGCCACCGCATCCGAGCACCGCCACCGTACCCGGCCCGGCCCCCCCCCCCAATACCGTACCGCCACGCCGCCGCGCAAACTCCTGGCACGACCCACCGCCAACGCACCCGTCGCCACCACCGACCCGCCGCCATCGCCACCGCACCCGCGCACCCGCCACCGCACCCGCCGCCATCGCCACCGACCGGCCGCTCATCGCCACCGCACCCGCCGCCATCGCCACGCACCCGCCGCATCGCCGCACCCGCGCCGCCAAAACTCCTGGCACGACCCGCCGCTCTAATGCCCTCTGCTTATCGATGGCGCTCATAACGGCTGACGTCACGCGGCGGCAAATCATGATCAGGCAGGACGCACAATCCTCAGGGGCTCAGGGGGGGTGGGGTGGGGGGGTTCAGGAGGGAGGGGTGGGAGGGGAGGGGGGAGGCTGTTCGAAGGTCACGGCGGAGGGCGGGTTCTCTTGACGGGCCGGACCCCCCCCCCCCCTTCGCTGCGCCACAAGCCAGCTCATTTCCCTCATTTCCTCATTTTGTGTTCTGTGGTTAAAGATCTAATGATTTAATTGCCGATAAGACATTTTTCTTCTTCTCTTCTTCTTCTTTATTCTTTTCTGGACATGGATTCTTCTTCTTTCTTTCTTTCTTTTTCTGAACATGGAAATATTAACATTAAATAGCAAATTACCGAACCCCTTTCTCCTAACCAGAACAAACAATCCGATTATTATTAAATATTCGAAAATTAAAAGACGCACCTCAAAATAATCATAAAACATATCTTCTAATCATATACATTACATGCACCGGCATAAATGCGGATTTTCGAAAACGACGCTACAAGAACGCTGATGTGTTTACGTCATTCATTGCAATCAAAATACCACAGTTTAGAACGACTAAATACCACGTTCGCCAACACTAATATCGGAAAAGTTGCTTTCATTGTCATGCACACAACTTTCTATCCGACAACGGAATTAAATATCCCAATATAATTTTTTTTTTTCTCTCTCTCTCTTTCTCTTCAAACTCTCTATATTTATTTTCTCACTCGTGACCCAATTTTATCTAATGCCGTTGCTACTTCTCGCTCTTTCTCTTTCCTTTCTTTCTTTCTCAATCTCCTTCTCTCTCTCTCTCTCTACTCTCTCTCTCTTCCTCTCTCTCTCTCCTCTCTCTCTCTCTCTCTCTCTCTCTCTCTCTCTCTCTCTCTCTCGCTCGTCTCTCTCTCTCTCTTTCTCTCTCTCTTCTCTCTCTCTCCTATCGACAGCCAGAATTAATATCCCAATATACGGGAAACATTCTTTTTTTTTTTCTCTTCTCTCGTCTCTTTTCAAACTCTCATTCGTTGACCTAATTATCTCTAAATGCCCATTGTACTCTCTCTTCTCTTCTTTTCTCTTTCTCTCTCTCTCTTCTCTCTTCTCTTCTCTGTCTCTCTCTCTCTCTCTCTCCTCTCTTTCTCTCTCTCTCTCTCTCTCGTCTTCTCTCTCTCTCTCTCTCTCTCTTTCTCTCTCTCCTCTCTCTCTCTCTCATCCGACAGGCAGATATTAAATTATCCCAATTAACGAAACATTTTTTTTTTTTTTTTCTCTCTCTCTCTCTTTGTCAAACTTCCATTTCGTTTGACCTCCCTAATTTTTATCTAAATGCCATTTGCTACTCTCTCTTCTCTTTCTTTTTCTTTCTCTTCTCTTCTCTCTCTCTCTCCTCTCCTCTCTCTCTCTCTCTCTCTCTCTCTCTCTCTCTCTCTCTCTCTCTCTCTCTCTTCTCTCTCTCTCTCTCTCTCTCTCTCTCTCCCTCTCTCCCTCTGTCTCACTTCACTCTACACTCACTCTCACTCACTCTCACTCACTCTCACTCACTTCTTTCACTCACTCTCCACTCTTCCACTCACTCTCACTCTCACTCACTCTCATCTCACTCTCACTTCTTCCACTCTCACTCTCACTCTCCTCTTCACTTCACTCTCACTCTCACTCTTCACTCTCACTCTCACTCTCACTTTCACTCTCACTCTCTCTCTCACTCTCTCTCTCTTCTTTCTATCGAACAACGGAATGAAAATATCCCAATAGTACGCGAAACCATTTTTTTTTTCTCTCATCTCTTTCAAACTTCTACATTTATTTTCTCATAAGTGACCTAGTTTTATCTAATTGCCATTGCTACTCCTTCTCTCTCTCTCTTCTCTCTCTCTCTCTCTCTCTCTCTTCTCTCTCTTTCTCTCTCTCTCTCTCTCTTCTCTCTCTCTCTCTCTCTCTCTCTCTCTCTCTTCAAACTCTCTACATTTTTATTTTCTCTCATTCGTGGACCTAGTTTTATTCTAAATGGCCATTGCTTACTCTCGCTCTTCTCTCTCTCTCTCTCTCCTCTCTCTTCAAACTCTCTACAATTTATTTTCTCATTTCAGTGGACTAGGTTTTATCTAATGCCATTGCTAACTCTCGCTCTCTCTCTCTCTTCTCTCTCTTCTCTCTCTTCTTCTCTCTCTCTCTCTCTCTCTCTCTCATCTCTCTCTCTCTCCTCTCTCTCTCTTCTCTCTCTCTCTCTCCAAACTCTTCTTTTTTTTTTTACATTTATTTTCTCATTTCGTGACCTAGTTTGTATCTTAATGCCATTGCTACTCTTCTCTCTCTCTCCTCTCTCTCCTCTCTTTTCTCTCTTTCTCTCTCCTCTCTTCTCTCTCTCTCGTGCTCTCTCTCTCTCCCTCTCCCTCTCCCTCCTCCCTCCCTCTTCCCTTTCCCTTCTCCCTCTTCCCTTCTCCCTCTTCCCTTCTCCCTCTCCCTTCTTCCCTTCTCCTCCTCCCCCTCCCTCCCCCCCTTCCCCCCCTCTCTTCTCCCTCCTTCTTCTCTCATTCCTCTTTCTTCCTTT